GGGGGATTGGATGTCGTTGATTGGTAGACGACGTGCGTTCGTGGTTGATCACCGTGGCGGACAGGTCACCGGGGGGATTGGATGTCGTTGATTGGTAGACGACGTGCGTTCGTGGTTGATCACCGTGGCGGACAGGTCACCGTGGGGGTGTGTAATTATCGTATGTTTTTGTCATGGTTTACTTTTTTTTTTTTCTGTTATCTGTTTCGGGTCTTAAGAAATCGATGTTCGCGTCTGTAACAACCAACATGTGACACCTGTCATTGGTATTGATGACGGCCCTACTTCAGGAGGTTGTCGCTTCTTGTATTCGTTGCTTTTCGTGATGTCTGGACGATGTTGTCGTTTCTTGTGTCTCTCGTTATTGATGGTGTCTACAGCTTCATGTCGAGTCCTTTGCGTTCCCTTTTCATTTGCATTCACGATTGTCAGGGTTGCAACGACATGGAAAGTGGTGACAGATGTATGATTTAACAAATGCTTTATCACAGATTGATGAATTTTCACACAACCCATTCCAAATGCGAGCACAGATGAAGGCAATAAAAATGACACACACACAACGTCTCTCTCTTTAACAAAATACTTGTCATTCGTCATGAACACGGAGAACAACCTCCACGACATCAAAAAAAAGATTACAAGATATGTTATCTTCATGTTGTCACTCCCGGTAAAAGCACAACACGTCACAGTTACGATGTAACAGGCCTTGAAGGCAACTTCGATCCCGACCAGCCTAAAACACACACACACACACACACACACCCGGAAATGGCCTCCGTCACTCACACCCGTCACTGGCGGTGGCACCACACTGCAAATCGTCGCAAAGACCTACAACCACACGCGCATCACGAAACCCCCGCCGCCGATGAGATGGACTGTGCCATCGCCATAAACACCACCCGACGAAAACCTCCTAAGTGCGGCGCAATGCGAAAGTACAGGAAACTAAAGTGCGCCAGACAAGCCACCGCATCCACGCCAACGCCCACCGACCCATTAACACTCTCTCGATTAACACTCTCTCTCTCTCTCTCTCTCTCTCTCGCTCTCTCTCTCTCTCTCTCTCTGCATGCCGCCCGCTCCCGACGACTGCTCGTCGTCACTGCGTACCCATTCACTCCGCCAGTGCATCCCGCAGGACCAGCGCATCCCCCGTTGACGACTCCATACTCATCTGCCTCAACGGGCGGTGCATCCCAAGGTCCACCCTGCGACGAACACCGTCCGGCCCGACCTCCCACAACAGATTGTCGTCGAACGGGATGCCCGGGTCGATGAGTATGTTGTGCAGAATGCAGACGGCGACGAATTGCTGCGGCAACGTCTCCATGTTCGTCTTGTGGGAGCGAAGGAACAACCTCCACATCCCCTTCAATCTTCCGAAAGCCCTCTCGACTGCTCCCCTCGCTGTCTTCTGCTTGTTGTCAAACCGAATCTCCGACGGGTGCTGTGATACACCGCCGTTGGGGAGAACTACCCATTCCGAGGGGGGGTAACCGTTGTCGCCCAGTAGATAGCCGTTCGTTCGCACACCGAAAGGCAACATGACAAGTGGCCCAGTGAAAAGCTCCCCTGCCTCCGCACGCGCCCACAAACTGGACAGGTGGACAATCCTCACGTCGTGGCAGCTCCCCGGGTATCCGACGAACACATCCAGCACGCGCAAGTTCAGATCGACGACCACCTGAGCCTGGACGGAGAAACGACGTTTTTTGTCGTAGTAGTCCTCTCCGGGGCAATTGGCTGGCTTGTCGATGAAGATGTGGGTACAATCAATGCAGCCATGGCAGTTGGGGAAACCCTTGTCAGCGAAAGCGCGCAAGACAACCACCTTTTGCAGCCCCGTTTGCCACCATATCTTGTTGCGGAACGCACTCAGCAACGCCGAAGTAACATCCCGCACAGCCACCAACCCAGACTTTCTGCCAATGCCGAAGCTGCACGTCCCGCTCTCGTACGTCTCCCCCGACGCCCATCTGTACAAAGCGAACGCTACGATGAGGTCAGGCTGGAGGGGCTCCCTATAAAACGTGACACGCCGTTGAAGGAAGGGAGACAGAGTTTCCGCTATCTCCCGGAACACCCGTGGCGACATGCACAGCTTGTCCTTGAAGTAGTCTTCCGTCGCGTCGTCTCATTGCCGCAGATCCTCCCACACCCCCCCCTGTTCGACGCTTCATCCACCACCTCGGCGTCGCTCTGGGAAACGCATAGCACACCTGAAGGACAGCGTCGCAAATGGCACCGCTGCCCTCTTCGTCCACATGAATGGACTGCAGCGTCTTCTTCCGGTGTGCGCGAATGGCTGCTCTCACCCTCCCCTCCGTCCTCTGCAATTGACACCTGATGAGTATCATGTTCACGGCCGCTGCCACAGACGCCCTCTCCACCTTGCTGAGTGTGTCATGAACCGCGTCCCCGTCCACGTCCATCGCTCGTCCTCGCCAACTGAAGAAGGCTCGACTTCGGTGGGAACAACAGCGATGGCGTGTCGTGAAAACCCGACTGTACGGCGTGCACGTCGACGGCGAAGGTGCGCGTAGCAAAGCACACAACGTTGGCTATCGTGTGACGGCGGCCGTGCTGCTTCGGACGTACTCATGGACGTTCGGTGTGCCAGCAGACGCCACAAAGCCGCCACCCCGTACCGAAACAGTCTCGCCGACGAACGTTGCTGCCGTCAGCCGTAAGGGACACACGCGCCGCCGTCATTCGCTTACTGGGATCGAATTTCGAAATTCAAATCCGGGACTGCGCGCCGTTTTCGTAGCCTTTTTTTTTCGCCGCGTAAATTCGAATTCGTGCCGCCCACAGCTCCTGGACCAAGGGCGACGCCACGGACACAACCCGCTGGACCAACCTCGCCAACCCCCCCGCGTCCGCGTATCGAAATATGCAACTGGCCGCGGGAGCACCCGAGGAATCGTCCTCGGGGAACATTTCCGAGGATGAGTGGAACGAAGGCGGGAATTTCCTCGGGCGACTCCAAGGATTCGTCCTCGGGCCCCGAGGATGCCCCGAGGAGTGTGGAACGAGCCCTTTAGTATCTGATCCGTGGTCCATTGGGCCACATGATATTAAATTTTATTTTTTAGGCCTACGGGCGGGGTCACATGGGTCAGCTTTGCTTTGCTCATTTGATCCCCCAGAGTTGCCTCTGTATTGCACTGCGGCAGAGCACGGCTCGCCCCAATACCCAAAACAAAAAACAAAAAACAAAAAACAAAAAGCAAAAATTCCCGCTTGCTGCGCTTACTACGGTAGGTTAACAGGGGCAAGGTTCCACTTGCACAAATTAAGAGATTCTGGCCGTTGATCTTTGCTATCTACGGTCAATATCGTTTCATTCGTGTAAGTGGGACCTAGCCCCAGATGGGCATGCTTTGCACTTATATGTAGATCGGACATCGGGCTACAGTCGGCAATCTTTTTTTTTTTCCTTTTTTTTTTTCCATGAAGTTGCCAGTCTGAGCACTGAAACGGTGAAAGAAAGGGAAATACTGTATATAATCCTTCAGCAATCAAGTACTAATCTTTTTTTTTTTTTTTTAATYTTTGGCTTTTCGGTCAACCAAGCCAGTGTGACTATAAAATAGAGTCTTTTTTTTTTTTCAGCTGCTTCCAGTGAAGTTCGAAGTCGTACCAACTGCCAGTGCGCTGCGCCAGTTGGTGGACATAAAAGCCTTTTTTTTTTTCTTTTTTTTTTTTTGCTGGAAACCAACTGCCAGCGAGCCTATCATTACAACATTAGAAAAGTTTGATAAAATTTAATGTCAGCACAGACAGCCGAGTATGGGCCTCGCGACACCACTGGCCAAACGAGACGAGAACGAATGCATCTGCCGCAGAAAGGGGTAAGATGCATCCATTGCTATTCATAGTAACGGATGTATCTTGCCCTTTTCTGCGGGAAGATGCATTCGTTCGTTTTCCATTTCGACAGTGGTGTGGCGAGTCCCAAAGCGTGGTAGGCATGCTAAGAAAACATCCCCCCCCTTGCATAAACCCGTTGCTCCATTTTCTTTGAACTTTTTTTTTTTTTTTTTTTTTTTTTTTCTTTTTTTTTT